ATGAAACGAAAATGGAATCCGTCCCGAGTTAGGGGCCCAACGTCATCAGCTACAACGCTGGGATCAGCGCGTGCGAGCAAGGCGGACACTGGCAGCGAGCCGAGGCGCTACCCAGCGAGATGCGGGAGCTGGGACCGAAAGCAGAGGTCACCAGCTTTTTACCACTTGGATCAGCGCTGGGTGCGAGGAAAGCGGACAGTCGCAGCAAGCTGCACTGGAACCCAACGTTGTCAGCCACAACGCTGGAATCAGCGCCCGTGCGATGAGAGCGCAGTGACAGCGAACCGAGGAGGAGGAGGAGGAGGAGGAGGAGGAGGAGGAGGAGGAGGAGGAGGAGGAGGACAAGCTAGGTGCGCTCGCGTCATATCTGACATCCCACCCCTCCCCCCCATCCTTTACCATGGCGTAGATCCGCTCTCTACTCGCACAGTCGGATGTCGAGCAGGGCAATGATCCCGAAAGGGTACGCGATGCATTGTAGAGCACGGCATGGCATGGCGTAGAAGAGCACCGCAAAGCGTAGTACCAACCGACCATTGCATTGCATGCCGTAGCATGGCACGGGAAATGACGCCAACGCTGCAGCGGGAGCACGAGTCGGAACGTGCGGAAGCGCAGAAATGAGGCCAACGCTGCAGCGGGAGCACGATTCGGAACGAGCGGAAACACGGGAATGAGGCCAGCGCTGCAGCGGGAACACGATTCGGAACGAGCGGGGCCCGAAAATGAGGCCGGCGCCTCGGCGAGAGCAACATTTTGGAAAACAGCGCAAGCGAAAACCCAACTCCGGGGAATCCTGTGTGTAAAAAACAATTCGCGGGGGGGGGGGGCGAATACTTTCAAGCCGTCATCAGGGGAAGAGGGAGAGTAGTATTCATATTGAATAAATGTGGAGGAGGAGGAAGCTGAGGAGGCAGAGGAGACGCAGCGGCAGCAGGCATCCGCAGCGGAGGAAGAACGAAGCCGGGCGAGGAGGCGGAGGAGGAGGAGGAAGAGGAGGAGGTGAAGAAAATCGCGCTTGACGTCACCAGTTCCCACGCTGCGATCACCGCACTCGAGAAAGCTGGGCAGTAGAAGCAGGGACACTTGCTGCTCCACGAGATGGACGACGCAGGTTTGGAGCCCAGCGTCATCTGCTGCCTTGCTGGGACCAGCGCGCGCGATACAGGCGGACAGCGGCAGATGGCTCTGACGCAGCTCCGCGAGATGCGGGGTGCGAGCGCGGATCCGAATGCCATCAGGTGCAGCGCCGGGATTGAAAAATTGACAGCGGCAGCGAACCGAGGACGATAATGAGGAGATAGAGAAGGAAATACGGGAGCCGACAGACGAGGACGCAGAGGAGGAGAGATAGAGAGAGAGGGCCCCTGGGGCCTGGGGCCGACGAGTCTGCCCCAGCATGGCGCCGGGCCGCGTGCCTCGCTCACTTGTGCTCTCAGATGTCTTGCCAGCGTTTGCGCTGCCTTCCACTGTGCCGCTTGGCATAGACGTGGTGCCAGGGGTGCCGCTCCAGGAGCCTCGCGCCCCAACGCCCATCTGAGGCCGACTCCATCTTGTCACGGAGACGCCTCTTGGTATCTCGAAAGTCAACAACCCAGTCACGCACGTGATACTTATGAGAAAGATCTAAAGCTGCAGAAGTAAAGCGTCTGATAAAATCCACCCAACATTCGTCCGGGAGCCGCCGTGCACCAACCATTATTCTCAGCATCCGTCGTTGCGCACTCTGCAGTTGCCGCTGCTGCTCCGATGTGACCGCCCATGCGCCAGAGCCATACAGAACACATGGCGCAACCGACGCTTGAAACAACCGCAGGCGGTGCTGCAGTTTGATGCGCCGGCTGCAGAGCGTGAACTTGTGTTTTGCGAATGCCGCCCAGCCAACAATTCTATACTGCAGTTCCGTCTCATGGTAAGAATCAATGCAAAACTTACGTCCCAAATACTTCTCGGACTGACCGTGTTGAAGCACCCGCACATTGTGTCCACCACATCGTAGTGTGGCCGGCCTGTTGTCGACGTTCGTCATAATTACGGTTTTACCCATGCGCACTTTGAGACCGTATCCGCGCGCCTCCGTCTCCAGATCTACCACCATTATTGACGAGTCTCTGGCCGAGGAAGCCACCAGCAACACATCATCGGCAAACCTCAGATTGGTGAGGGGGTCGCTGGCGCTGTCGATGACCATGCCGTAGTACGATCCAAGTCTCTTCTGGTTCAGGCTAGACCATCGGACCTTCAGCGTTCTGAATACTGCCTCCACGTTGACGACAAAGAGGAGAGAGCTTATGGGATCGCCCTGCTTCAAGCCGCGACAAATGTCAAACATTCTGCTTTTGGTGCCTGCCGCGACGCACGCCGATTGTTTCCCATGCAATCGATTGAGCAAGTTGAAGCATTCATGTCCCAGGTTCTGGTCCGCCATAGCTTTCCACTGGCTCTCGTGTTCGACTGTGTCGAAAGCCTTCTCAAAATCAATCACGCAGACCCGAAGTTGCGCGTTGAATTCGTTGCGTGACTCAACAAGTAACGTGGTTGTCAGCAAATGGTCTATGGTTCCGCACCCCTTTCGGCACTCCAGATTGCGCAATAAAAAGGAGGGGGGGGGGGTCTCATTTCGGGGGGGAGGGTCTCTTCCAGGCGATCTTGGAGGGCCCGGGGGGGTCTGGGGGCGATGTTTTGGAGGGTTACCCCAATGGGGGGGGGTCTGACATGGCTTGTCTTGGAGGGTCCAGACCCCCTCCCTTTTATTACGAGATCTGGAGTACGCAGCCTGGTCTGCCGACTGCTCTCTCGCAATGATAGGCCGCGGCCTCTCGCATAGCATTCCACTGAAAAGTTTGTATAATGCCTCCAGGATTGCAATGGGGCTGTAAGTCGACGGTGAAGAAGAGCCCCCCTTCTTGTAGAGCAGCATGCTGCGAGCCTGGGGCCAGCCACTCGGTAAGTCGGCGGATGGGTACAGAATCTCGTTGAATGTGTCCAACAGTAGACCCCGGAATATCGAGGTGACAATCTTGGATATCTCTGCTCTCGCCCCATTGTCGTCGGCGGCTTTGCGAGGCTTCATCTGGCGAGTCGCTGCTTTCAGTTCCTCCATGTTGAACGGCGGTGCGCGGTTCTCACCCGCAGGATAATATGTACTCTGTCAGTGATCTGGCCGGGCGCTCGCGTACAGCTCCTCGTAAAACTGCGCAAAAACATATGCAATGTCATGCTTCTCTTTCGCAAGGTTGCCAAAGTTGCCCTTCGCCACGGTGATGTGGAACTTCGGGCGCCCAGTTGTTATGGAGGGGAACTGTTTGACATCGCGGAACTGATGCAGAATCTTATCAATCTTGGCAGTTTGCTCCAACACCTTGCGTTGGCGAATCAACGACTGCATCCTCTTCCCAATGCTCACTCTCAGCGCTTTCTGTTCCGCCTGTGACAAATCCGATTGCACAGTGGCCCTCCGAGCCTTGATAAGGCGATGCATTGCAGAATGCGCGTCGCTTGGCTCAGGCACGCCATCCGTGCCCAGGCTTTGCTCCTCGCCCTCTGCAGCCGCCGTCGGTTGACAACAACTCAGATTTGCAATGCGCTCTGCAGTGCTTCGTTCTTGCCATGGCACTTCTTTCCAATATACTTTTTCCCTACCTAAGCTCTGCCTAGAAGGGTTCTTACTCTCTTAGCTTAAAGGGGCCGGGCAGTGCAAAGCGCCCCGGGCGGTTCCCCCAGTCCCCTGGGAGCGGTTCCCCCCAGTCCCCTGGAAGCTTAGCTTTAGCTTCAGCTTTAACTTAGCTTTAGCTTAGCTTTAGCAAAGCTATAGCTTAGCTTTAGCTTAGCGTTTCGCTTAGCATTTCGCTTAGCGTTTAGCTTAGCTTTTGCTTAGCTTTAGCTTAGCTTGAGCTTAGCTTGAGCTTAGCTTTAGCTTAGCTTCAGCTTAGCTTTAGCTTAGCTTTAGCTTAGCTTTAGCTTAGCTGTAGCTTAGCTTGAGCTTAGCTTTAGCTTAGATGTAGCTTAGCTTCAGCTTAGCTGCTGCTCAGCTTTAGCTTAGCTCTAGCTTAGCTTTAGCTTAGCTTCAGCTTAGCTTTAGCTTAGCTTTAGCTTAGCTTTAGCTTAGTTTTAGCTTAGCTGTGGCTTAGCTGTGGCTTAGCTTTAGCTGAGCTTTAGCTGAGCTTTAGCTGAGCTTTAGCTTAGCGTTACTGTTACTACTAATGCTGCTTTCCTAGGGTTCCAACTCTTAGGTAGGGTCGCACTGGGATAATTTCAGGCAGACGAGGGGGGCGCTGCGATTCTCCGACGCACCGGCAAAAAAATGCAGCCAAAATGCGGGGACCGTTTTCCGGCCACCCGGCCCCTTTGGGCCCCGAGGCAACGCGATGCAACGCAACGCGCTGGAAGCGAAAGTTGCAAGAGTGCCCGGAGCTAGCCCACTCATGCCTCCAGGGGGCTCCCTCAAGAAACCACCACAGGTCTCGACATCCATCCACTGAGGAGCTGGCGAAGATCATCGCGCTCGTCGCCATCAGCTCCAATGCTGGGACCGGCGCTCGCGAGAAGGGCGTGCAGCGGCAGCGCGCTCCAGCGCCACCCTGCGGGATGCTAGATCTGAAGCTGCAGGCGACCTCCCGCTTCAATGCCGGAAGAGGCGCGATTTTGTTGTTTTTTGTTGTTTCTCCCCCCCTCTCAGCGCAGCAGCGCAAGTGCCAGTGCCCCCCCCGCGCGCCCACAGTGAGTGTGGGGCGGGGGCGCGCCCCCAAGGAGCTGGGGGGGTTCGGCCGAAGCCAGGCGAACCCCGAACCTCCCCCGAGGCCGCCCCGCCGCTGCCCGGCGGCGCGCCGCCCTCAGGGCCCAGCCCGTCGCCGCCAGCCGCCTGCCGCCTGGGCGGCCGCCGCCGCAGCAGCCGCGTTTTCGGCCGCCGCCGCCGCCGCCGTCGCTGGCTGCCGTCCGCGGCGCGTCGGGCCCGCAGCGGCCAGGCCCTCTTGCCAGCCGCGCCGGGCCCGGCCGCCAGCGCCTGCAGCCGCCTCCCGCCGGCGCCGGCCGCGGCGGCGGATCCTGCTGCCGTTGCTCGCCCCCCCCCTCCGGCCCGCCGCGGGCTGGCCAGCCATGTGCCTAGGCCCCAGTGGCGGACCCGCGCCTGCCGAAGGCGCGCCGCCGCCAGCGCGAAGGGCCTGGGAGACCGCCAGAGCCCGCGGCCAGAGCATGCTATTTTCGCAAGCGCCGATTCCGGCACTGTAGCTGATGAAGACGCTCGGCTCTGGCTTCGGATCCCGGGTCGCCCGGGAAACCGCCTCAGCCCGCGTCGACAGCATGCCCTTCTCGCACGCGCCGAGTCCGGCACTGCAGATGATGGCACCTAGCGCGGTTACCTTCGGCCCCCTGTCGCTGAGTAGCGGCAGAGCCCGCTGCCACTGAGCGCCCTCCGGGCACGCGCCGATCCCAGCGCTGTAGCTGATTACGTCTGGCACCAGCTTCGCATCCCTCATCTCGCTGAGCAGCGCCAGAGCCCGCTGCCGCCGATCGCCCTTCTCACATGTGCTGATCCCGGCGTTGTAGCTGATCGCGTTGGGCTGCAGCTTTGATTCCAGAATATCGCTGACCAGCGCCAGTGTCCGCTGCTCCTGATCGCTCGTCGCGCCTTCCAGGATCTAGCTGGTTACGTCGGGCACCAGCTTCGCCTCCCACATCTCGCTGGGCAGCGCCAATGCCTGCTGCCACTGTCTCCTCCTCTCGCACGTACTGATACTGGCATTGAAGCTGATGGCGTTGGGCTGCAACTGTGATTCCCGCATCTCGCGGGGCCGCGTCCGGGCCCGCTGCCGCGGCCCGCCGTTCCCACAAGCGCTGGTCCCAGCGCTGTACCTGAACGCGTCGGGCTCCAGCTTCGCATCCCGCATCTCGCCGAGCCGGGCCAGAGCCCACTGCCACTGCTCGCCCTTCGTGTAGGCTCTGATCTCGGCGTTGGAGCTAATGACGTCGGGCCCCTGCTTCGCATCCTGCATCGAGTTGAACAGCGCCAATGCATGTTGCCACTGTCCCCTCTTCTCGCACGCGCTGACCCCCGCGTTGTAGCTGATGGCGTCTGGCCCCAGCCTCGCGTCCACCGTCTCGGCAAGCAGCGCTGGGGCCCGCTGCCACTGCCCGCCCAGGCGCGTGCGCCATCAAGGAGCAGCGGCAGCGGGTTTTATCGTTGCCCATCAGGGTGCAGCGGCAGCGTGTTCTATCGCTGCTATCTGGAGACAGAAGAGGGGGCCCAATGCTATCAGCTGCAGTGCCGGAGTCGGCGCGCGCGCGCGAGTGGCAGGCTAGGGCGGCTCCGCCTGGCGGGTGGCAAGCGGCGGCCGGCGGCGCGAAGTCCGCGCGGCGGCCGGCGCGAGAACTTTCGAGTATAAACAGGCTTCAGTTGTGACGGTCTGGTCAGGAGTCGAGCTGCGACTGGATAGGAATGCGCAGGGGCCTCAGTAGTACGAGCGCGTCTCTGCGCATGAGCCTGGCGCCTCCCGGAGCCTCCTGACACCTACTAGGGCTTCCTGGGGCATCCAGGAGCCTCTTGGGGCCGCCTGGGGCCTCCTGGGACCTCCCAGGGAGGCTTCGTGCCCCAGGAGAGCCCAATCTATAGCAGCCGACGCATATAAAACATCGATGATTGGAGCCACAGGAGAAGGCCAATCTACAGAGACACACGTAACGCACCAAGGACTCGTGCTCCAGAAGAGGCCCAACATAACATAAGTACAGCATTTAGGCTTGTGTTCACAAAGCAAGAACAATATATATATATATATATATATATATATATATATATATATATATATATATATATATATAAAAAACAGACGCGCAACGTTAAGGAATCGTTCTTCAGGTCAGGCCCTATCTATAGGAGCATACGTAACACACATGGGATTGGAGCCACGCCTGTTGCCTTCTGAAGCCTCCAGCTCCTGGGGCCTCTCGGAGCTCCCTGTTGCCCCCCGAAGTCTCATGGCACCTCCTGCGGCCTCCTGGAGCCCCCTGTGGCCCCCTGAAGCCTCCCGGAGGTTCCTGGGTCCTCCTGGACCATCTTGGAACGTCTTGTGGCCTCTCGGGTCTTTCTGTGACCAACTGATGCCTCCTGGGACCTCATGTGGCCCCCAGTGGCCTCCTGGAGCCTGTTGGAGCACCCTGAGACGAACCTGCGCCCACGAGTCTGGCCACCAAAAGACGCAAACCGAATGAGACATCCTCAAAATCTGGCCCACATGGGAGGAGAAACTGCGCGCTTCGCTCGAGACACCCTCCAAATCTGCTCCGAACGCGAACGATGTTAGGCCAGAAAACAAGCAAACCGCTTGAGACATCCCCACAAAACAGCCGCGAACGGGACCGTGACATACCCCTCGGCGGCCCCCGTGAGGGCCGTGAAAATGAGCGCCTCGCTCGAGACATCCTCCAAATCGGCTCCAAACGCGAATGATGTCAGGCCAGAACACACAGGGCAACCAAGCAACAACCCACAAAGGATGGACACTGTTCCTCCTCACCTCGAGGCTCCTGCTAAGCAAGCCCAAGGGTGCCGACGCCGAGGGCCGACAAGAGCTCCTGGGACGCGCCCAACGGTTCCGCCAGGGCGACTGGCTGGCCCTGCTGCACGAGGCCAACACCACGACCGGCGCGCGCGCAGCGCCGAGGCCAGCCACAGAAGAGCAACAGCAGGAGAGACGCAGAGAACAGGCATGCGCGCACGGCCGAAACGGCAACCCGTCACGGGGGAGACAGGTCTTGACCGCGGCGGCGATTGCGCCCGGCAACGGAGAGACACTAAACAGGCTGCGGGACCCGGCCCGCCGACCGCCTACCCTGAGCCACCGACTACCCGCCAACCTAGACCGCGCAACCGACAGAGCGAGACTCGACAAGACCAAATTCCTCGCTTGCCTCCGGTCCGCCAAAAGGGCACGGCAGCAGGACCGTCGGGAGTCCGCGTTGAGCACCTCAAGCCGCTGCTGGAACACGAAGAGTCCATGGACCTGCTTGGATTCGCCGCCGCTGCCCTCGCGGAGGCGCGGGCGCCCTCCCCGATTGCCCGCGCTCCAGCCCTCTGCAAGATGACGGCGCTCCAGAAACCAGACAGCGGAGCACGGGGCATCGCCGCAGGCGACGTTTTCCGCCGACTGGTCACCAGGGCGCTCGCTCAACAGTTCGCCGAGCAGCTCGCGGCCGCAACTGCGCCCTTCCAGTTCGCCCTGACGACGCGGGCAGGAAACGACTGCGCCGCCATGCTGCTGAGGTCAGTGCTGGATCACGACGACGACGCAGTGATTGTCAGCATCGATGGAGTCGGGGCTTTCGACCATGTGTCGAGGTCGGCCTTCTTCCAGGAACTCCTTGCTCGCCCAGAGCTGGCCGGTTTAATCCCCTTCGTGAAGATGTGGTAGGGGCAAGACTTCACCTACCTCTGGCAAGACGAAATGGGGACTGTGCACGACGTGCACCAGGGAGAGGGAGTGGAGCAGGGGGACGCGCTGGCCCCAGCCCTCTTCGCTCTTGCCCTGCACGGAGCGCTGGCGGGCGCCTCCAGGACCCTCGAGCAAGGGGACTTCCTGGTCGCTTTCATGGACGACGTGTACATCAAGACCACCCGGGCCAGGGCCAGAGCCGCTTTCGACACCACCACCGGAGCATCCACCTCCACGCAAACGTGGATTGCCACCTTGGCAAGTGCCGGGCTCACAGCAGGTGCGGAGGCGCAGCGCCGCCCGGGATCAGCGAGCTGGGACAAGACGTCTGGCAGAGCGCCACCCGACCGAGGAATCAAGATCCTAGGCGCCCCAGAATTCGTCGCCGCACACCTGGAGAGCAGACTACAGGAAGAGAGGAGACTCCTGGACGAACTGGCGCACCTGCCCGACCTACAGTGCGCTTGGCTCCTCCTCCTCCTCTGCGCCTCCCCGCGGGCCAACCACCTGCTGCGAACTCTGCCGCCAGAGGAAATCGCAGAATACGCAAGAGGCCACGACGGCGACATGTGGGCCACCCTGCGCCGCCTCCTCGGGGACCCCGCAATGTCGCAAGACGAAGAGCGACGGGCGCGCGCACTGGCAGCAATGCCTGGACGACACGGAGGACTCGGGCTCCAAAGCGCCGCGCGCACGTCCCCAGCGGCCTACTGGGGCGCTTGGGCAGACGCCCTACACATGCTCCACCAACGGCGCCCCGTTGAAGCTGCAGCGATCAGGGACCTCCTCGACGGCACCAGGCCCGGCCGTAGGGGCAACCTTGCCGCAGCCGCCGCGGCCGCACAGCTGCTCGAGTCCGAAGGCTTCCGGAGACCTTCCTGGGCCGACCTGCACCAGGGGCTGCGCCCAGAAACGCCACCGCGCTCGGAGGCCGCCGAACCGGGGGAATGGCAGCACGGCTGGCAGTTCCACGCTTGTTCCGCACGCAACACCCACTACAGGGACAACGTGTTCATGCCCAGCCTCACCAGGGCCAACCAGGCCATGCTAAGGTCAGGCTCAGGACCGAGGGCCGCCTACTGGCTTCACACCTTACCCACCACCGAGGGGCACGAGTTCAAGCCCGCGCGGTTCCTGGCAGCCTTGCGCCGGCGCCTCAGGCTCCCGCTGCCGCTCCTCCCGCACACGTGCGGGGCAGCCGGCCACCCAGGCTGCCAGGCCCGGCTGGACACGCTGGGAGACCACCTAGCCGCGTGCCCACGCACCGGGCTTCTCGCAAGACGCGCGAAACCGCTCGAACGAGCTTGGGCGAGGGTCGCCAAGAGAAGCAGGAGGGAGAGTTGTCCCCCAACAACTGCTGCGGGACACTAACGCCGTTGTCCACAACCCGCTGGACCGCAGACAAGTAGACCTAGTCGTCTACGGCATCTCGCCGAACGGCGTCAGCTGTGCTGCGACAGCACCATGGTGTCCCCCCTCCGCAGGGACGGCTGGCACCGGCCGCGCACCTTCGACACCGACGGCGCCGCACTACTTGTGGCCGAAAGGCGCAAACGACGCAGCTACCACGAACTCACGACCGGCCACTCAGGCCACCTCATGGCCCCCTCCTGCGAGGTCGGAGGCAGGTGGGGCCGCGACTCGCTCCAGCTGGTACGCCTGCTTGCAAAGCAGAAGGCGCGGGCCGCACCGGCCCTCCTCCGCCGCTCCGCGGAGCCCGCGTACACCAACCGCTGGTGGGGGGTCCTGAGCGTCGCGGCCCAGGACGCACTCATGGCCACCCTGACGGGCGACGGCTACCTAGCCCTGGGGGGAGCCGCCGGGGAGGACGACCCAGACCTGGCCGAAATGCTGCTCGCAGACTCCGCCGGCCCACCCGCTAGCCGCCTGCCAGCACGCCCCTGATGCTTGGTACCGCGGCCAGCACGGCCGCCCCGGGGGGCACCGACGAGCGCCGGGAGCACCCCCGACACGGCAGCGGGCACCACGAGGAGACCAGCAGTACGACCACCACCACAACGGCGACCAGCAGCACCACTGCTTCGACTGCGACCCGCAGCAGAACCACCACCAACACCACCACCACGAGAGCGACCCGCAGCACCACCACGACCACGACCAGGAGCACCACGACTGCGAACAGCAGCACCACGACTGCGACCAGCAGCAGCACCACCACGACTACGACCAGCAGCACCACCACCACCACGACCAGCAGCACCACCAGCACCACCAGCAGAAGCAGCACCACCACGACTGCGACCAGCAGCACCACCACGACTACGACCAGCACCACCACGACTGCAACCAGCAGCAGCACCACAACGACCAGCAGCACCACCACCACGACCAGTAGCACCACCAGCACCACCACGACTGCGACCAGCAGCGCCAACACCACGACTGCGACCCGAAGGACCACCACGACCACGACCACGACCAGCATCACCACGACAGCGACCAGCAACACCACGACTGCAACCGGAAGCAGCAGCACCGAGACAGCGACCAGCAGCACCACCACGACCAGCACCACCACCACGACCAGCACTACCACGACTGCGACCAGCAGCACCACCACCACTACGACCAGCACCACCAAAACAACGACCAGCACCACGACTGCGACCAGCAGCACGACGACTGCTACCAGCAGCAGCACCACCACGACTACGACCAGCAGCAGCACCACCACCACCACGACCAGCAGCACCACCAGCACCAATAGCACAAGCAGCACCACCACGACTGCGACCAGCAGCACTACCACGACTACGACCAGCACCGCCACGACTGCAACCAGCAGCAGCACCACAACGACCAGCAGCACCACCACCACGACCAGTAGCACCACCAGGCACCACCACGACGGCGACCAGCAGCCCCACGACTGCGACCAGCAGCACATCGACTGCGACCAGCAGCACCACGACTGCGACCAGAAGCAGCACCACCACGACTG